TGGGATTTTTTTGGGATTTTTTTGGGATTTTTTGGGAATTTTTGGGGGATTTTTGGGAATTTTTGGGATTTTTTGGGATTTTTTTGAGATTTTTTGGAGATTTTTTGGGGCTTGGAGTGGTTTGGGAAGGAGGAAAAATTGGGAAAATTCTGGAAAAATCCGGGAAAATCCTGGGAATTCGGGGAAAAAAAAAAGGGAAAAAATCCGGGAGAAAATGGGAAAAAATTGGGAAAAAAAGGGAAAAAAAATGGGAAAAAATCCGGGGGAAAATGGGATTTTTTTGGGAATTCTGGGGTTTTTTTGGGAATTCCAGGTCTTTGTGGGAATTCTGGGTTTTTTCCAGGGATTCCAGGTTTTTTTCCGGGAATTCCAGGATGTTTTTTCAGGAATTCCGGGGTTTTTTCGGGAATTGCGGGGTTTTTTCAGGAATTCCAGGTTTTTTCCCAGGAATTCCAGATTTTTCCGGGAATTCCAGGTTTTTTTGGGAATTCCAGGTTTTTTTCCCGGGAATTCCAGGTTTTCCTGGGAATTCCAGGTTTTTTTGGGAATTCCAGGTTTTTCTCCAGGAATTCTGGGTTTTCCGGGAATTCCAGGTTTTTTTGGGGAATTCCAGGATGGTTTTTCCCGGGAATTCCAGGATGGTTTTTCCCAGGAATTCCAGATTTTTCCGGGACTTCCAGGATGGTTTTTCCCAGGAATTCCAGATTTTTCCGGGACTTCCAGGATGGTTTTTCCCAGGAATTCCAGATTTTTCCGGGACTTCCAGGATGGTTTTTCCCAGGAATTCCAGATTTTTCCGGGACTTCCAGGATGGTTTTTCCCAGGAATTCCAGATTTTTCCGGGACTTCCAGGATGGTTTTTCCCAGGAATTCCAGATTTTTCCGGGACTTCCAGGATGGTTTTTCCCAGGAATTCCAGGTTTTTCTCCAGGAATTCCAGGATTTTTTGGGGAATTCCAGGATGGTTTTTCTGGGAATTCCAGGTTTTTCCAGGAATTCCAGGTTTTTCCGGGAATTCAAGGTTTTTTTCCAGGAATTCCAGGATTTTTTGGGGA